ACAGCTTAAGAGGCAAATGATTACTCACACAAAGCATCAAAGATAGCTACAGATATGTTTTAGTATCTGGCTTTCCAAATCTCAGTTATAACAAGAGCATTGCATTTAATTTAGGAAACAACAGTTTAATCCTCAGAAAGAAAAATGTGCAGAAAACCAAACCAAAATGTATGTAAAGATCATGTTAAAAATGAAGGAACACCCCCCTCCAGTTTTATATATTAAAACACAAAAAAATTCTTAAAATTTTAAGCTACATTGATAAAAGCAAATTCACTAATCTATTTAGTTGTAAAATGCCTTATTTATTAAAATATTTTTGTTGTAGTAAAAATCCAGATACAAAAGTTTACCAGTATTAAACCACAGTTCTAAGTTATCTTCCACAGCAGCTAAAATTATCTATAGAATTTCAAATAGCAAAATTAAGCACTTAAGTTTCAAATAAGAATCTCAATCCATGAAGTTTCTCTGATTCTAACTGAAATAGAGATTTTTAAGTACACAACCTTACGTTATTTCTATAAATTGGTATAATTTAATAGTAACCTTTAGACGAAGGATATTCAACAGGTAGTATTTCTAAGGTATCAAAAAGCTCAATACCATCAATTCAGATTAGATATTGTGTTGTACTCTAAGATTCTCTGAGGCATACAGATTTTATATTTGCCCACTGAGTGCATTTTCTAATACAGACAAGTAGCCAGTTGTGTAACACCCAAGCATGAACGAAGTTTTATACCATCCCATGTAGTAAGAAAAAAAAATGACAATACCAGCACTTTTATTTAGGTTCACAATAAACCAATCATGTCTGAACAATCTGAATAACAAAATGACCTAAATACAACTAGAAGAAATACTTTTCCTTCATTTTTATAAAGACTGAATTTATTAATATTAGTACCTGGTTTGTCAAAGTGCAACTATTCGAGATCTAAAACTTATTTATTTTAAACGCATAGAATAAGTCTGACTACTTGTAGTCAATGTAACTGTCTTGAGCCAAAACGCAGTGAAAACGGAAGCTAAACTTCAAAAGAATTTTTAAGTATTAGGGCATTCTGAATCCTCTGGACTGGAGATTATTTGGGGGGAGTAGTTTCTTTTTTCCATTTATAGCTCAATCAATTTTGATTTATGTGTGGGTCATGGGATTAACTCATTTTTTAATGAGTTCTTAGAAAGTTGTAATTGCTTCCAAAATCAGAAACCACAAGATGATGTACTCAAACACTATGCCAACATCATGTTGTTATGGAGATATTCACAGAAAGGTGGAGAGAAGGGCTCAGTTGTCAACATACAATGGACTACAAATTAATAATTTGTGGAGTATGACCAAAGAAACAGTGTAAGAAGTTTAAAAATTCAGCTCTAATTTTAATCCAGTTCTATAAAATCATAAAAGCAAAGAAAAATAGGGATTTATTTCAGAAACTCCATATGCCTGTGGAAAATGGAACATTAGTTTCTACTCAAGATCAACCTTATTCTCAAACAGACTATGGCTAACTACTTATACATTTTAAATTTTGAAAATATTGTGAAAATTGAAAACATAAGCGTCAATGGTAGTTTATGATCTGTAAACACTTTCTGTGTAATAACACAAATAAATTCAACTGAGAAGATGCAAACTGATAGGTCTCAGGATTTTAAAGTCTTTTCATTTCAAAGGTGCAATGTCACACCACGTGTACAGGATGGGCTTTAAAAATGGATATATATGTAAACTTTTCCATGTTGGTGTGTGTGCTTCCCCCTTCCAAAGAAATGCCTACTACTTACAATGTTAAGAAATCTGTCTATAATTTTCAACCAGAAGCCCTCAATATGCCTTAAACCAAACTGAATATTAGGTATTTTACAGCTTCTGCAAAATGGCTGTAAAATCACATTATGGGCATACACATCTCTTTGATCTCACTGCACAGAATTCATAACTGTTCAATAGTGCTATACCATCACACCACACACCTTAAACTATTTCCATTTTTCCAAAATTCCTTCCAAAATCAGCTTCCAAAGCAAAGCAATGTAACATGAAAAATTCCTGGGAGGGCTTGTCACACAAAAGAACAGCTTGGAACAAACTAATCTACACACATCTCCATCTCCTGTTGAGCCTGTTTATCCCTCACCTCCCTCCATCACTCCTAAAGGTGGGTGCACTGGGGTAATGGAAAGAGAAGGCTCTTCCATCACCACCACCCCCAGCACCTCGGCTTTTGGTCCTCAGACAGTGGTTCTGTGTAGGTGATGAAAACCATAAGAAAAGAGAAGCTGTCCCTTTAAAATGCCCTGCTCTGTCCCATATCCCACGTGGAACCAACATCAGCAGCACTTTCCCATTAACATCAATGTGATGCAAGAGGCACCATCCTTTTATATACGTAAACCCAGAAAACTTCAGCTTAACCTTCTTGAGTAAGGATGAACAGGTGAAGCAAACGTGTCAGGAAGGGCGAAACCAAGCAACTCCCCACCCCTCCCCAAAAGGTACTCGAGTCTTGCACTCCAGTCTCTCTGTGCAACATCACCTCCCTACCCCTCCTCTGTAGAGCCCAGTTTAAAGAAAGGAGGGAGCCACTAACAAAACCTGAAGCATAAATGCGACGAAAATGCAATCTAAAGCCGGGAAGGGTTATTCTTCCAATCACACACATTAACTCTATTAAGAAAATGGCATCGTTTTTTTCCAACAAAAAAAACCCCGTAAAGATCATTAAAAAAGAGTTATAAAATAGCAAATATAGTGTTTATCTTATCTCAGATCAGTCCACATTACCATAAGTTTAGTAGTTTCTGCACTTCCACCTCCCCCCTCCCTCCCCCTGCTTCTCTTGCATCGGATTTTCACGTTTTCTCATTGTCGGTTGAGTTATAAAAGGCTTTTGCCCTTCGAAAGTTTTAAAAAATAAATAAATATTAACTCCTTGGTCCCTGCAAAGTCAAAATGGACTTCAGGGGAAAAGCGGTACATACTTTTACCTTTAGCGAGAAAAGGGGGAGCATCCCGGATTTTTAGGGATTTTTTGCGATTTTTAAAAAATTTTTATTTGGTTATATGCCTGAGTTCTCCCTCCATTTTGGTTGTTTATGATACTGACAACAAGCTGTCCCTGCTCTGTGCCGATCTCCTGCTTTCATTTAGCACCCCCTCCCCCTACCCCCCCTCGCAGCCACACACCCCGGGCTTACACCTCCCCGTAGACCCCGCACCCCGACCCCGGCTCGCCCACCTGAGGAAAAGGCAAAAACAAATTCATTTCTCCAGAAAAGAAAAACCTCTTTTGAAAAAGGGGCAAAGTTACCCCAAGTCACTCAAAGTGGCCCCCAAATATTGCCGACTGAGGGTTTCCGCCAGGCCCTTTGGGAAGCGACCTTCCCCCGGGATGTTTTGGTGGAAAATGCGGAGAGTTTACTCTCAAAACTGAATTTATATTAATTTTTCCCTTATTTTTCGGGTCTCTAATGTCTTCCGCTCTCGCTGCTGCCGCTGCCGCTGTCACAATATTCACAGCACCAGAGAGGAGGAGGAGGAGGAGGAGGAGGAAAACTTTTCAAACTTTCCAGACCCTGAATAAAGGGTGTTTTTTTTTTCCCACCGACCTCACCTTCGGGTCCCCAGCCGCATCGCCCCCTGCCCTGTCAGAAGCGACTTCAGGAGTCCTCGCAGCCCCGCGGAATTAATTTATTTTATTTTTTATTATTATTTTTCTCTCTGGGGTCCTGAGCAGGGGCTGAGAGTAGCACAAACTTTTCCTCCTCCTGCCGCCGCCGCTGCTCCTCTGCCCCCTCGGCTAGTCCCATAATTTAAATAACCCTGATATTTCTCCCGCTAAACGCCTCTCCGCCGCCCCGGACCCCGGGAGAACTCACCGCTGGGCTTTAACATCCTCCCTCCGGCCCGTCCGCCGCCTTTACACCGCCCGCGGAATTTCTAATAATTTTTTTCTCATATTTCGGGCTGGACGCGGCGGGCCTGGAAATTGTTTCCTTACGCCTCTTTCCAGCAGCCATTGTAGTGTATGCGCTGCCCCTGCAGCCCAACTTGCAGCTGCCGCCGCCGCCGCCGCCGCCGCCGCCGACGTCGCGCCCACCGCCGCCTCCCCCCGCCCGCTCTGCCACCGCCCCCGCCTCCTGTTGGCCCGCCCCCGCCCCCCGCCCGCCATTGGGCCCGCCTCCCAAGCGCGCTTTGCCCCGGGGCCTGCCACTAGGCGACGCCGCCGCTAGAATGCGGCCAGGCGATTGGTCAGTAGTGCCGTCCGTCAAACCGAAGTGTTAAGAGGCGGGCCCCTGTTTGGGGGGGCGCGGCTGGGTGGGGAGAGGCGGGGCCCCGGGTACCGCCCCGCCCACTCCTCCTTCCTCGGCCCTCCTTCCACCGATGGGGCGGGGCGAGGCCCGCCCGCCCCTGCCGCGCAGAGCCCTGCGCAGCTGTCAGTCTGGCAGCGGTGTGCACCGATTGGGTGAGCGGCCGCCGGGGCGCGGGGGCAGCATGTTCGGATGCGCGGTACTTAAGGTCCTGCTTCGCAAGCCATTGACGTGTTTGGAGCTGGAGACTGCTTGGTCGCTGGCGAAGCGGCCGCCGGAGGTGAGTGGGCCCCCTCCCCTCCCTCCGCGGCGGCTGAAGGCGAGCGGGAAAAGTCGGGCGTACCTGGGCTCCAGCAGGGCCCAGATCCACTTCTGCTGCGCAGAGCCGCCCCCAACAGGGTGCGCCGCAGCACGGGCCCTTCTTGTAGCTTCTCCACCGGCCATACGGGTCTGTTCCGGTTGGGGGCGAGGAAGGTGACCTCTGCCTCGCTCGGACACCACCAGCTCGTCCTCCATCTTCCTATTCTCCAGCCTTTGAAGCACAATCGCCTGTCCCCAACCCCACCAGTACCTCGCGTTTTCTCACCCCCTGCCCCTTTCGCACCGTCGCAGGGCAAAGCAAGGTGTGTCCACCTGTGCCCGCCGTTCAGGATTAGACGCTGACGGGCAGCATCCCGGAAGGCTACGAGGCCTAGGATTCGCCTCTCTCCAGGTTCTCCTTCGATCTCCCCGCCCCCCTCGGTATGCCACCCTTGACTTCTTGCCCCTGCCCCTCTGGACCCAGCAGTGGGTTAACGGCGTGGGGTGTGTCAGCTTCCTGGTTTAGCAGAGCCTTGGACCCTGTGTGGGCTCCAACCGGCGTGTAGGCGCGGACGTGGCCAGTTACCTTCCCTTCCCGCTTCCCTTTCTAAGCTGCTGGAAGAGTGGGGACGTGAACCTGTGGATGGGAAATGAAGAACTGCTTGACTAAGCAGTTTGCCCTGTGCAGTGGATTTTAGTGTCATTTCTCAAATGTGCTGTGGTTTTAGCGGCCCCTGCCTCAGATCTTGGCTTTCTTTCTGGCTCTCCTCTGCTAGTGGTAGACTCTTGTAACATTGGTTTAGTACATTCAAAAAGCAAGTAGATGAGGCCTCTGTAACAGAACATTCAATCTTGTCCTTCAGCCTGGCTCTTCACTGTAAATTGACATTTCCTCTTTATGTCTAGTTAACACATGAGGAATTCATGCAAAGGAGGGAACTTGCGGAAATAAAAACTTGGGAGGACTTGTGTTTAGAATCCAGAAGGTAAAGGAAATGTGAATAAATTCAAGCAGCAGGCCTGATCCAAGGTGGGTTTTTTTTCTAACTAATGATGGTAAAATACAGGGTAGAATATTTGAATTTCAATATAAGTTTGCCTGCCTCTAATAGTTGTTCACACATCATAGGACAGATGTGAAGAAGAAAGCCGTGAGTTTACCTAGTACCATCATCTCTCTTAGAAGAAGTTAAACTGGCAAAAAAATAAATAAAAATTAAGTTTAGGAAAGGAAGAAACTTTTATATAAAAATTGAACAGCTGCTTGAATTTCCTTTTTGCCAATGTGTTTCTTTTGGTTGGGTATCAAGTATTGCTCAATGAAAATCATAAAATGATTGATTATTTAGTGGCTATTACAAAGTAAAGTACCCCTAAATAAACAAACGCTTTTCCATCCTCCTTAGCAAAGTTTAGTTGGTTTCCTTTAGCCCAGACATCTTATTCTTTCCCATAATAGAAGAAATTGGACTGGGTGGCTCTGGTTGAGAATACCTCCACTTGACAGGACTTTACCAGGTTTGGTTGTTTTTCCTGAATATGCATTATTTCTTTTAACATAACTGTTATTTTTCACTGGACTCTCCTTGAGCAAGGAATTCTTTCATACAAGAATTCTGACCTCTGTCTTGTTACGTTGACCAATTTAATTCAGTCAGATTTTGTAGGTCACACTGCATTATTTGCTGGCTTCTCCATTAGTCTTTTTAGGTAGAAGAATGATTAAGGTAGAACAGGATTCAGGAGTACAAGTTAGATTAGCTCCTTAATATTAGTTAAGAGCATTTAAAAATATTTATGGGTGGTTCATCAATAGTATACCAGTATGTTGAAACAAGTCACTTTGAAATAATTATTTCACTATTGAATTTGTCTTTTCCACGACATTCCTTTGAGACAATAAGCATATCAATTTCAGTTGAATTCCGTTATAGAGAACAACTATATTCTGAGATGTAGTTTGCATACCCGTTACCCAACTATATGACTTAACCTGGAATAATGAATTGGTTCTTTGGGAACTGTCATTTGGCTTTTTGAAATGTCGACTAAACAATAAGTTGGCTTTTAGGCGTATTAGCTATCCTAGTATAGGCCACACAGTAGACATTCTTATACTTTAGTTGGTGAGTACTTCTGCAAAATTTGGGCTGTCCTAAATTATTTCATTCTTTCTTTGTATACTGATCAGTGTATAATAAGGAAGTAATTGTTAGAATGCATGCTGTATTCTTAGTTTTTGTTAGTACACTTAATTGCTTTAACTTAAGAATAAACTACAACTGAGTTATAATTGAACTGTCTTTCTTATTGGATATTATAATCAAATTTTTATAGGTGAATTTCAATATATGGCCTTTGTGTTGAAACATCATGGCAAGGCAAGGAAAAAAAAATTCAAAGTTTTTATTCTCAAATGCAGAGAATACATGTTCCTCACCATATGATTATTGTGCCCAAATTAAATTTTCCAGTACTTTTTGGGCTTTTGAGATTTATTGATTTCTTGTCATTCATTGTATAACTCTTTTTTCCTCTATCTTCAGTGAGAAAACTGTTACAATGCCCATGGTCACACGGAGGCTTAGAGATCCTGACGTAAATCCTTGCTTGTTGGTAGGCTGATTTGCTTTTAATTTTCATGAGTATTTTTATTTCTTTTTTTTTTTTGAGACAGAGCCTCAAGCTATCCCCTTGGGTAGAGTGCTGTAACTTCACAGCTCACAGCAACCTCCAACTCCTGGGCTCAAGCGAGTCTCCTGCCTCAGCCTCCCAGGTAGCTGGGACCACAGGCGCCCACCACAATGCCTGGCTATTTTTTGGTTGCAACCATCATTGTTGTTTGGCGGGTCTGAGCTGGATTCGAACCCGCCACCTTAGGTGTATGTGGCTGGCACCCTAGCCACTTGAGCCACAGGCGCTGAGCCAGTATTTTTATTTCTACATAAAAAAATATTGCTGGCTGGCATGTTATTTCACTAGAGTATTTTTAGATATTCATGATTTTGGTAACAAAGATTCATCTTTTCATTTCTTATATTTGTATAATAAACAAGTGTCTAGTTAACACTGAGGAAAATCTTTAGTCCAAACGTGGAAAGTTGGAAGGTATGACATTTTTATACTGTCACTGAAATTTATTGTCTTAATAGCAATAATTTCATCATGTCCTTGAGATAACCTGGCTGAGAGCAAGGGGCTGATAATAGAATCAGCCTGTTCAGAGCTTGAAGGTTTTCACAAAGGTGTCTCATCAGCGTAATATTTTGTTTTACTAATAAGCTTTTATTGGCATTTATTGGTACAACTTGCAATACTTACTGTGGCTTTGCTGCACTTGAATAATGTGTTTATTATACTGGCACTGTGAAAATTACGCTCCATTATCTCATATGCATTTTCCAAATAGATACATTCATTAAATATTTGGCATAGAAATTTAGCTTTGTTCTGGATATTAGGTCAGTTTTCAACAGCTAGCTTTAGTAAATAAATCTCTTTAGATAGAAAATGTTCTTAGATCTGTGAAGCAGTTCCCTACCTATTTAGTGAAAGCTTTCTTTAGATGACTCAGAGTTTTACCTGTCACTTTGAAGTTTGTTATTCAATCTACTTTCAGTTCAGACGACTTAAGTTTAATCCCCTGGTGGCACTACCCTCCTTTCGAATGCACAGCCCTGTGTTGCTCACTTTTTATTTTGAAGTGATATTAATGATGTCTATTAAAATTTGCGTACGTAATAGTGTATTTACTTGTGTAATGAGTAAATGAAAGCCAAAAATTCATTGAGATGAATGGTGTTAATGTAGGTTGCCTTGCTGTATACCAGTTATTGGCAATTTACTTAGAATCTTGAAACCAGCATTACAATCAAACATTCCAGTGCGAGTGAGGATTTGGAAAGGCAGGAGGGCTGTGCTGGGAGTCGGGAAACAGAGTCTGGCTGCACCGCGGTGATTTTGGACATAATATACTCTGTCTCACTTCCTTATTAAATGGTTACTGGATTAATTGATCGCAGTCAATGGTTTGGATCAGATGTTCAGAAAACTGGCTCTGCTGAAAAGGGAGCTGTCTGCCTGAGCAGAGTGCGTTGGCAGGATTGTTCAGTTTTTGTTAGTGTCTACCCAAGAAAATGAACAAAAGTGAACTATTTCACATTATTTGCTATAGGGGAAGCAACTTCAGTTTTTTGTTTCTTTTTAGATCTCATTCTACCTTTTAAATGATGCCTCTCTTATGTATTTAAGGAATCTGATGCTTCTACCAGATGTATGGATGAAAATAACTATGACCGGGAAAAGTGTTCCATTTACTTCTTGAAATACAAACACTGTCGGAAATTCTGGGTAAGCCTTGCTTGACTAGCTCTGTGTTGAAACCTGTCTCAGGCTGAAACTGAGGCCTGAAATTAGTTAATACCCACAGTTCTTCCCCAGTGATGTCCATAGGGAAACTGAGCCTTTCAGCTTTATCCAGTGTGTACTTTTAGTTGGTAATCGAGAGGGTCCTCAAGAGCTCTTGTTAGCAGCCTCACCCTACTGTAAGCTACAGGAATGCAATTTTAACATAGGTGGGTCTTTCTAGGTGTGTAAGTAGTACTATCACAAAGGCCTGGCTGTGAATTTAGTTTCCTGGAGATGAACAAAATGTGTAATTTCCCCTGCTATTACAGAATGATGGTAGGCTTCTGTTTCTGCCTCCTCCTTTCTCTCTGCCATCATGGTAGCTAAACTGGTCCTATTTCTCTTAAGATATTGGTATATAATTCCTGTTTCCCTGAGCACTGAACCTAGCAATTTCCTTTCTCTTTGTTAGATGCACTTTTGGTTTCATTTAGCAATTATTTAGTGACATTGCTTAGTGCAATCTATATATTTTTGTGCTTTGTACTTGAGTAGTATAATCTCAACCCAATTGCTGTTAATGTATTCCTGTAGGAATAACCACTTCTATTTAATTGTTAATTGTTTGAAAACATTTATCTGGAGTCTAGGTTTTGGATTTTTTTTAAACTTGGTTTTTAGAATTTCTTTTTTGAGGAAGCAAAGCAGATCACTAGCAAATGACTAGCATTTAATACATGACTGATCTTGGTTTCTTCTTTTTTTATACTTATACACAGAATTCTATCATGGTCCAGAGAAGACAGAATGGAGTGAAGCCATCTATGCCTACAGCCGCAGAGAGAGACGAAATCTTGGGAGCAATGGGAAAGATGCCCTATTGAAGTTGCATTAAAATTGATCATGTAACTTAGAAGCAGATGACTATTTTTTTTTTTTTTTTTTTGAGACAGAGCCTCAAGCTATTGCCCTGGGTAGAGTGCTGTGGCATCACAGCTCACAGCAACTTCCAATTCCTGGGCTTAAGTGATTCTCTTGCCTCAACTTTCCAAGTAGGTGCCCACCACAACGCCTGGCCGTTTTTTGGTTGCAGTTGTCATTGTTGTTTAGCAGGCCCGGGCTGAATTTGAACCCGCCAGCTCTGGTGTATGTGGCTGGCACCTTAGCTGCTTGAGCCACGGGTGCTGAGCCCAGATGACTATTTTTAATAAATGATTGAGGTACTCTTTTAAGACTTTACAGGCCTCACCCTACAGACCTTATGTTCTATAAGGAGAGATGGATTTAAGTCAGCCGGCGTCCTGGGTACTTGCTCTCAGTGCCAAGATGATGGTAGGTGCTCCTGGCAGTGCTGCAGCACTGAGCTCACATGCCTCCCAGAGGTAAGGGAGCGTTTGGATCTCAAAAGAAGAGGAAGATGTGAACAAGTAAAGACTGAATGGGGCTGAGAGGAATGCAGTGTTTCCAATAAAGGAAATGGTGGTAGCAGTGATGTGATGGAAGGAAAGTTTGAATCATGCTTAAGAATAGCCTGTAGATCGTTGGATCTAGAGTTTCAGGTGATGGGGAAGAGTGATGGGGCAAGACTGGAAAGGTAAGCTGAGGGTAAAGGATGTGTGGTGGGCCTCACATCACAGGCTTACTCCTCAAATCCAGCTTACTCATCTTTGTTTAAGTGAGGTTAGTACATTCACTAATGCCAAAGAACAGGGGGACGGGGATGTGTTATCCAAAATAAATGGCCTGAAACAGAACTGGGTTCCTTTTATTTCTATGCTCAAGGGGCTTAGTTCCAAAATTCTGTGACTAATATCCTTAATTAATGGATAGTCTTCTGAAGCCATAGTATCAGTCCTTGAGCTATATTAATGTGAAAAAGAGAAAATGATTCCCTCACAAGGGTGTCCAACCTGTGACCATAGGCCACATGTAGATTATTTGCAGACACTTGTTTGTGGTATCAAATATCAAAATATGCAGAAACCTTGTTTTCTTTCCTTTTTCTTTTTTGCTCATCAGCTTTCTTTGGTGTTTGTATATTTAATGTGTAGCCCCCAATACCTCTTCTTCCAGAGTGTGAAACTGAAGAAAAAAGGTTGGACACCACTGCTGGAAGTAGGATTTCTATTTGCAGGATGAATTAAGCAAGGAAGGATGTGGGAAGGGGGTTCATCAGGTGAACTCAGCACTGGTAGGAGACTAGAGCCTAACTTCACTTTATGACATAAAAATAAGGACTATTCTGTACGATGACTGGAGGTAAATTGTGTAACAGCTGTCTCTGTGCCAACTGTGTTTTAAAATCCAGCTATTATTTGCAAAATAGTTTTGTACAGACATGTTATTTAATAAAATATGTGTACTTGAAAACAAATTTCCTGTTCCTCCTTTTTATCCGGTCCTAGATCATGAGTATTATTTTATTTATTTTATTTTTTTATAGAAACAGAGGTCTTGCTATGTTGCCCAGGCTGGTCTTAAACTCCTGGCCTCAAGTGATCCTCCCACCTTGGCCTCTGAAAGTGTTGGAATCATAGGAATGATCCACTGCACCCAGCCAAGAGTATTATCTTAATGGCTGTTGACAGTAAACTATCTATGAGTCTAGAACCCAGCTCAGAAGATTTTAAGCCTTATGACCTGAATTGTTAAATTGATTTTATTTGAATAAAAAATGATTTGTTTCAAAATTCTTTTGATTTGTATAGATTGCTATAAATATGATGGATTAAAATAGGACTGAAAAGAATTAACATATACCATGTGAAAACCTAACCCATGTTAGGAATTTTAATGTTACGTCTGGATGTACATACCAGTATCAACATTTATCCTGTCGCTAATTGTCTTAAATTGTTTTTTAATAGAGTTTCACTGTGTCGCCCAGGTTGGAGTGCAGTGACAGGATTGGAGCTCATTGTAGCTCACTGCAGCCTCGAACTCCTAGGCTCAGGGGATCCTCCTGGCTCAGCCTTCCCAGTAGTGGACTGTAGGCACAGGCACATGCCACCATGCCTGGCTTTTTAAATGTTTTATTTATTTTAACCATCTTTGTTTTATTGTCTGCCATACCACCAGGTATTCCTGCTCACTAGCCTCAGGACTGAGGGTGATTCAGGTTCAAAGACTGTAGCTCACTGACCAGCGGCTGTGCAGAGAGTTGTAGATTTGGAGCTTCTGGGCTCAGACCAAGGGTTCAAGCTATTACCAAAGCCCAACTCTTAGGACTATGGCCCATAATAGTCCACAGAAACAGACTGGCTTCTTGACTCTAAGAAACTTCAAACAAACAAACAAAAAAAATAGCTTCATTGAGATGTAATTCATATATATACCTGTATCATCTACTTAAAAGTGTGTAGTTCAGTGGTCTTTTGTGTATTCACAGGTTGTGCAGCCATCATCATGATAGATTTTAGAACAACCTGAAACCCTGCACCCATTACCCCTTCCCACTTTCTCCTTATAGCAACCCCCCAACACACGGTAACACTAATCTACTTTCTGTTTATGTTATTGCCCATTCTGGACATTTATGTACACGGACTCATGGTCTTTTATGACTGGCTTCTTTCACTTAGCCTAATGTTCTCTGGTTCATTTATGTCATTGCATGCATTAGTTCTCTATTCCTTTTTGCTGAAGAGCGTTCCATTGTGTGGATGTATCACACTTTATGTATCAGTTAATCAGGTGATGGTCATTTGGATTGTTTCTACTTTTTGACTATTAAGAGTCATGCTGTTTCTTGAACACTTTGTAGAAGTTTTTATGTAGACATTCATTTCCCTTTGGACATATACCCAAGAGTTGAATTGGCTGGATCATATGGTAACTACGTTTAACCTTTTGAGAAATAAAACAGTTTTCTACAATGGATGCACTATTTCTCAGTCCCCCCAGCAGGGTATGAGAGTTCCAGTTTCTCTGCATCCTTACTAACACTTATCTGTCTTTGATTATCGCCATCCCAGTGGGTGTGGATGGTATCTCCCTTTGGTTTTGATTTGCATTCTCCTGAGGGCTCAGGACGTTGAGCATGGTAATATGCATATTGGCCAGCACTTTGGCCATTTGTGGGTATGGTCTTTGGAGAAATGTTTATTCCTTTGCCTGCTTTTAATGGGGTTACTTATTGAATTGTAAAATGCACGCTAGATACAAGTCTCCTATCAGATACATGGTGTGTAAAACTTTTCTCTGATTCTGTGGCTTGTATTTTTACGTTTATGGTGTACTTTGAAGCGCAAATTGTGTGAAACTTTTGTTTCTAATTTATTTTTTCTTTTGTTGCTTTTGGTGTCATTATCTAAGAAAGCATTGTTTAATCCAAGGTCGCAAAGATTCACACCTGTTTTCAGCTAACAGTTTTATGATTTTAGCTCTTACATTTATGTCTGTTCTATTGAGTTAATTTTGGTGTATGGTATGAGGTCAAAGCCCAACTTCATTCTTCTACATATGGCTGTCCAGTTAGCACTACTTATTGAAAAAAACTTCTTTTTTCCCATTGAATTATCTTGGCACCCTTGTTACAAATCTACAGATTGTATTTGGGAGAATTTATTTCTGGACTTGCAACTCTATTCCATTGATCTATACATACCTATTCTCATGTCAGCAGTACACTGTCTTAATTACTGTAGCTTTGTAGTAATGGCAACGCTCTCTGATGATTGGTGTCTGTGATTTTTCTATGAAGTGCTTTTTAAAAAAGTTTTGTTTTAATTTTATTTTTTAAATTTCAGAATATTGGCTCGGCACCTATAGCTCACCCGGCTAAGGCGCCAGCCATGTACACCTAAGGTGGCGGGTTCGAGTCCCCAGCCCGGACCGCCAAACAACAATGACGGCTGCAACCAAAAAATGGCCGGGCGTTGTGGCGGGCACCTGTGGTCCCAGCTACTTGGGAGGCGGAGGCAGGAGACTCGCTTGAGCCCAGGAGTTGGAGGTTGCTGTGAGCTGTAATGCCACGGCACTCTACCCAGGGGGACAGCTTGAGGCTCTATCTCAAAAAAAAAAAAAATTTCAGAATATTACAGGGCTACACACATTTTGGTTACATAATTTGCATTGGTACTTTTTGTAAGTCAAATTGTAAGTGTGCCCTTCACCCAGAATATGTGTAATGTACCAGTTAGGTGTTAATTTACCCACCCTTCCTCCACCCTCCGACTTGATTCCCTTTGAGTTTTACTTCCATATATGCACACAAATGTTAATAAACATAAATGTTAATAAACTAGTTTATTAATACATTAATTTAATGAAGGTATTTAATTAATAAATATCTTAATATAGTATTGAGGACATGTGGTATTTGTTTTTCCATTCTTGCAATACTTCAATTAGAAAAATGGTCTCCATTTCCATCCAGGTTATTAGAAAATATACTAAGGCAGCCATTTTATATATATCTGAGTAGTACTCTATGGTATACCTTTGCCACATTTTGTTAATCCATTATAAAGTGCTTTTGATGGGCTTTTTAAACTGATTATTGGGGAATTTTGATCAGGAAATCCTTGCTGATGTGTATTTATATGTAATGGCTCACATGTAATGGTTACATATGTATTTATATGTAACTTTAAATTTGTCTATAGTAATTCTCTAATTTCGTGTTTGCTTCTTCATACGTATACTGACAACTTCAGTGTGTTCTTCTTATAACCTGGTGGTTCAAGATTTTATTGCACCACTTTTGAGGGGCAGAGTCTCAGGAGTTTTTCTTATCACTGTTAAATTTTCCACTGATATTTCTCTTTCCAGGATTCTACTCTAGGAGAGGTGAAGTGGATTGACTTGATAAATTAATTAAGATGGTAGTGGGGCTTGGTGCTCAGTGGTTAGGACATCAGCAACATACACCGAGGCTAGTGGGTTTGAACTTGGCCCAGGCCTGCTAAATAGCAA